AAGATGCATCTCTTGGGTCCTGGTCTTTGCTTGATCTTTTACTATTTTGATACTGTTCATCTGTTGTAGTTTTTTTTAAGGCTTACCACTTTGTCTTTTGACTATTTGTCCAGCTTTCTCAAATTCCTAAAGGCACACTGCACATTATGCAGTACAAAAATACTGTTTTATAGTGTCAAACTGTGTTATCTATGGGACTTTTTATGGATTCATCTCTCTTTTTTTTTAGATAGGCTGCTACTAACAAAGTGACTAAAATCTTCTGTCTCCTCTATGTCCTCATCTTTAGTGGTCTCCACAGCAGGTATCTGCCTCCATCCTACCCTGTCCCTTGCATGCACCTCTGTCAAACCAACCATTTGCATGTCCTCCTTCACTAGATCCATGAACCTCCTCTGAGATCTTCCTCTTTCCTCCTGCCTGGCAGCTCCATATCCAACATCCTTTCTAGCATCTTTTCCTAGAACCTTTCCTAAGTTCTGTGTTAGCTGTAGATGGAACACTGTTTCATCTCTTGATTTAGGTGCCATTTCTGTGCTTAAATGAGCCACATTCGCTCACATTCACACTTATGGTTAATTTAGAATCACCAGTTAACCTAACTCCACTACTTGCATTTCTTTGGACTGTGGGAGGAAGCTGGAGTACCTGGAGAGAACCACCACAAACATGGGGAGAAGATGCAAACTCTACACAGAAAGGTAGATTCAAATTCAGGACCTTCTTGCTGTGCAGCAACAGCGCTAACAACTGCACCACTGAGCCGTCATAGTTAAGAAAAGTAGGAAATCAATGATTACGAGGCTTGATAGAGAATTTTCTTTATATTTGTGTCCTTGACTGGTCAAACCACAATAAATAACAATATCCACAGTGATTTTCCTGTGGTTTGAATATCGCGAGTCTAGGCAACTATCCACTCTTACTAGATTGTATCATGTCATCAAAACAAGAATACATTTAACAAGTGTTAAGTTTTTGAATTGCATGCATATTTTACATGTTTTAATTACATTTAACATAGAAACATGAAATTATTTGGTTCAAATTACAAGTTAAACTCTTGTAAATGTAACAACCACCCAATTTCACCCAATTTAACAGTCAGATGATCAATCAGTCGTTCAGTCATTCATTTTAAAACAATTAATGATTCACCCTTGAATCTAGCTTCTCCAATATTATTGTTGGTCACTCTAGAAAAAAGTGACGGACCTGATTCAAGTCGCCTTCACAGCTGCCTAAGATATTTTACGAGCTTTGCTGAGTTTGCTTTTGGACAAAAAACACAAAATTATTAATGTGTAAAACTGTGGTTATCATGGTTATCTGGAAGAATTGTGCATACAGATGTAAACACATCACACATGCATTTAAAACTAATTATAAAACTTCACTCAGTTATAAATAGAAGTCATGTTGAACTAGCAGGTTAGTTCAACATGACCCTGTAATACGTGCATGCATACACAGAGTGAATTTGCTCAGCTGTCACTGAGAGTACAGAAAGAGTCAGCATCTCAGACGACACCTCGACGGACAATTAATCAAATAACAATCTGCTAAAGCGACAGAATGGCCTCTGCAGTGTTCTGACACATTAGGCTCAATAAGATGATGTTTAATTGATACACAGAAACATACTGTAGGTGAACATTCACATGCGGTGCTCAACTCAAAGTCATGAAACTGGGACAGCGGCTCTTTGAGTTTCTTGAAAAGATGCTCACAGGAGACATCCAACCATGATCAACAGCTATCCTGGTTACTGGCTTTTGTCCAAAGGAAAAACGTGTTGTTAAATACCTTAATGTGACACAACATCTCTTAAATATGCTTAGTTGTAAAGGTCTCGAAGTGAGACACTTTTACAGCAGGTTCGAGGTGTCCATGGGTCAGTTTCAAAATGTCCCACTGACTTTCAACAGTCACACAGGAAGTGATGTATTTTATATCCACAGTCGACCACAGTGCAGGGCGGATTTAGTGAACTACTGCATAGTGGTGCTGGGGTCCTGCCAACGCGCATGACTCACAGCTCAAAACTTCATTCTTATTTTCCAGGTGTTTTTGAAAGTCACTGTGTTGTGGGGAGAAAAAAAGATACTGCCAAACTAACACCAGAAGTATGACTCACTTGTTTTTACAGTGAATCAATTTGATTATGCATCTTGACTATTTTATTCAAGAGTTCAAGAATTTTTGCCCTTCGTTTAAACTTTTGGAACTTTTGAAGCAAAAAACAAAAACAAAACAAAAAAGCACTGAAATAATTTTGTGAAATCTGGATAAAGCAGAGGTGCTTTATAACAACACACACAGATTATAAAACTCTCTGCTGATACTTAGTAAAAATATCATTGTGGCTGATAGCAGTCAAGTCTTTCTTCTTTTCTTTTCATATCACGCATTTCCAGTTTTGTTCCAAAGAAACAAAGAAATCTTTATAAGTCATACACCTTCATATCAATCTTCATAAATCTCATCGTATGTAAGAAAACAACTGAACTGTTTGTCACTCTGTCTTTAAACATTTAGCCGGTGAACAATTGATACAATAGATAAATATTAGCCACTCGTGTGAGTGAATAATGATGCAACACAATCAGTAAATGATATCAGTCAACAAAGCAAATATATATATATATATATATGAGCATAATCCTACCAAAGTCGCTTTTGAATAATAGATGGAGTTACTCTAAACTTTTAGTTGAGGTTCACTTGATATGTTTAAGTCTGCATAGATTACAAATCAGAGCGGATTTAGTTTGTTTGGTATTGAATATTGATTTTTGCTAAAAGCTCCCATGTGAACTGATTGTGTTTTAGTAGATCTATAAACTGATCACGCACAGTGTAATCAAAGCTTTAATGTCATGAATAAATCATTTTACCTCTAATAATCAAACCTTGGTTTGAAAAAGCATGTTGGGAAATTAGGATCATCAAAGTCTTAGTGCGAGGGCATCTAAGAAGAGGCTGAGGCGGACTGATGATCGCTGCAAATAATACATGCAAATCATACAGAGAGGGTGTAAGAATACTTTATGTTGCATTTCATTGATTTGTCCATCTAAAGGTAATAATCTTCCTTTTAGCGCTGCGTGCAGTGCAAATGAGCTTTGAAAACAACTACTGTGTGCTTCACTAATGTCGCATCTTTGAAGCATCCAACAGAAATGTTCTCATTTATTAGATTTGTTTTATTTCCACCCGAAGAACGTCAGCCCGGTGCTTGCTTGCCAGCTGGTGTAGGAAATGTCTCTTTAGCTGCTGAAATCTCCGCTACATTTACCAGCTAATCGATAACTTTGTCATTAATCTGGTGCTGCATGAGAAGGTAGGTGTGCCGTGGGCTTTTCAGTGCCTTTCTCCTGGAAGCAGATGCTGACACATCTGGACGCAGTTTTGATGGGAGCAGAGGGAGTGAAAGAAATGAGTGTAGTTGAAAAGCTAAAACACGGCGCTGGAGGGAACTAAATGTAATGTTGACATCAGGACACAGGCGATAATGCCCTGTGGGCTCATTCTGACCATTGTTATTGCCTGCTGTAAATCTACCAAGTCAGGTAATCTTCAGATTTTGAAGAATCCTTTAGTAAAAACACACAGAGTGGCTTTGATATGCTGATTAAGTTTTCTGTCATTTAACTCACCCTTTTTATTCCATCAATAATAATATGGTGATTCATCATTCAATACTTAAGTCCCTCGTGGGGATGCTTTAATACAGTAGGTCAGCGGTCAGCTGCCTCAATAACCCAGCAGAAGCAGGAGATTTAATATGCGATTCACAAAAGCTCCTGAGTGGTCTGCTGTGCAGTCCTGTATGATTTTACTTACCCCACATGCCCACAGAGGCAGACACGAGCATGGATTTATGCAAATGAATGAGGTGTCTTTCCCTCTGTTTCTTCCTTTGTCCCCCCACCCAGCCTCATCTGCCCCTAATTCCTAAATACTCAATCATGCAGGATGAGGGTCACAAGGCTCGGGTTCACTATAATGCCAGCCATCACCTGCAGCCATGTAGCGCTAGGTCACTGGATTTATATATAGTTTCCATATCCATTAATGCAACACAAAACATAAGCCAGAGGACACCCAACTGTGTGTTTAATGTGCACAACTTTTAACAGAAGCTCTGATATTTTTTCTTCTTCTCTTTTTAGACCACAGTACATGTTGTAGTGGTGATATGTGGTTTCAGCATTCATAGCGCTTTTAAGTTGTTTAGCTATTTATCCGCACCCACGTGTGTGTGTCTATTTCTGTATGTGTGTGTGTGTGTGCCTGCACTAAAGAGGCAGTTAATCTGACCATGTCTGCTGGCAGGACATCAGGTTGCCCCGTAGTGCATGTAGGCAAACAGCCAACCTTAAATAACATTGAACTGTTCAGTCTGGTAGGCTTCTGTCACTTCGCCTCCAGCTGCAGAGACCTGATGCTTCCAGCAGCGGCAGCTGGAGTGCAGATAGAAAAAGGCAGTAATGTGAAATCCTATCACTCCAAAACAAACTACAGTATATCTCTAATGCTATTCTGCAAGGCTCTCCTATTCTTCTAAAGAACTCCAGGCTGGATTTCATATAGTTTCGTGAAGAACTTTCCCGGTTTGGGTTTGATAGTGCAGCACTTATACAGCTACAGTATGTCGCTCTCCAAATGGGAAAGCATCTAATCTAAATGACTGTCTGCTGCGCTTGAAGTGCCAAGCAACCCTCTCTCTCTCTCTCGCTCTCTTGGCTACCGGAACAGCTGGCTGGTGGACGCTTTAGTTCAGAGAAGAAGCGACGGATCGAGGCACATAGCTATAGAAACAGAGGGAGAGCAGAGGAAAGAGAGAGAGAGAGGGAGAGAGAGGTGGAATTCTAACGAATTAATCACTGTCTGTTCCCGTGAGTGTGTGTGTGTGAGAGAGAGAGCGTGAGAGTCAAAGGCAGTGAAATAGAGAGAGAGAGAGAGAGAGAGAGAGAGAGAGAGAGAGAGAGAGAGAGAGAGAGAGAGAGGAGGGGGAGCGGAGCCTGACGCAGTGTGAGAGGCAGAAACTGAGAGGAGAGAGGCAAAGAACGAGGGAGACAGCAGCGGGCAGGCAGCGCGTCACATCAGGCGCCGTTTTGCATCCAGAAAATCTTGACGCGGGTCAATAACCACATTGACTGATGCCGTGATCGCACGAGCCACTTCCCGGTCACCGCTCTTCACGGAGACCGCAGAGGAGACAAGCTGGGACAAATCAGTACAGACAAAGATAAATACATATATATATAAATATAAATATCCCAGTATCAACAAAACCACACATACTGCCAGAGGCAACGAGGGGACGTTGGTGCCGCGGACACCTGCGAGGCGAAGCTCTTCTTCTTCTTCTTTTTCTACGCTTGCATCTGGAACAGGTAAAGTGAAAAACCATGAGGAGCATGTGTGAACTGCGTGCAGGGCTTTCATGTGCGTTTCATGTGTGTTTCTCGTGATGGCTGGACTCGCACTGCGTAGGCAACTTTGAAATATGTCAAGCGCTCTGGCATTCCTGCGGTTCCGAATTTACCGACACTGAAGCCCGTGTCTAAGAATGTGTGTGTGTGTGTGCTCTGTGTGTGTGTGTGTGTGTGTGTGTGTGTGTGTGTGTGTGTGTGTGTGTCTGTGTGTGTGTGTGTGTGTCTCTCTATGTGTGCGTGTGCACGCGCGCATGCATTGGTGGTGAACGTGGGGTGGGGGTGGGGGGGTTGCTGAATGGCTATTCCCAGGCAGCTTGTCTTGACTGTCTTATCTCCATCCTCATGAGTCCATTGATAAATGCGGGCGCAGATACAGTACGTACACCCAGATTTACATTATCAGTCCGGTGGATGCATGCCTGACAGACACCGTGCTCCATTCCGTGCAAGTAATTTCTGTTCAGATTTTGATGCAAGCCTGCTCAGGATTTGGTAATATTTCTGAGGTGGGGCCACATTTTGCTCACATTTAGGTCGGTCACTTGCTCTTACTGTACTTTTCGTCCCGGGACGCTCTGTAGTGCCAGAGCCTTCATACCCCTCTGCAGCCCCGTGTTCAGCACCTTGGACAGCGGCTCCACACAAGCCGGGTCGCCCGGAGAGAAAAATCCTGCACTCCGAACTCTTTCCCCCCTCCTCTGTGTTGATGATGTTTTGAAATCGTTATTTCAGCTGTAGATGTCTTACTTTATTCTCAAGCGGAAATAACTTTACACTCATATGATGCCGAAACAGTATTCTCCATAATTTCTGTTTTCCCCCTCTAAACACGCAGAGCACCTTCACCACTGCACTGTAGAAAATCCCACCATAGAAGAAATTGACCATGTGCAGGTGCAGGTGACTAATTAAAGGGGCATTCCTGGGATTTGGTATTATGTTACCTTAAAGTTGGGAGAACATGAGATTGGGTGAAAAAAAAAAAACGTCTGTTGGTTTCCTCCCTTCAGGGGTCACCATAATTTCTCACACCTCAGCCGTTTCTCCACATTTCTCTTCCTTAACAATGGCTTCTTGACAGACAGCCTTCCACTGAGACCTTCTGATGATGCCTCAGTGAACAGTAGATGGATCAACTAAAAGTCCAGATGCATCTCTGAGGTCCTGTGTCAGGCCCTTGTTGGATTTTTCGTTTCCATTTCTTAAGGACACGACTTTCAGATACTGTTCTGTTATAGGTAGTTTTTTTTAGGCCTGCTACTCCTTTTGTCCTCTACTTGTCCAGTATCCTCAAATCTTTTAAGGACACACTGCACACTATGCCGAGATATGCCAGGTTTTCAACTAAAAGCTCTTTCGAGAATCACCTTGTTGACACAGAAATGCTATTTTATGTCTGCTAATTTTTATATATACATTTTTCCCAACAGGCTGCTAATTCCTCTTTAAGGGTCTCCACAGCAGATCATCTGCCTCCATCTCAACCTGTCCCTACCATCCTCCTCTGTCACACCAGCCCTCTGCATGTCCTCCTTCACTATATCCACAAACCTCCTCTGTGATTTTCCTCTTTTCTCCATCCTCAACTTCCTTTGTCAAGTATATCCACAATCACTCCTTTGCCCATGTCCAAACCATCTCAGCCTTGTGTCCTAACATTGTCTTCAAACTGCTCAACCTGAGCTGTCCCTCTGATGTACTCATTTCTGATTGTGTCCATCCTGATCACTCCCAGTAATCATTTTAGCCTTTTGAACTCTGCCACCCACTCCTCCTCCCATTGTTGTGTCAGCACCACCATCTCCAAACCATACATCACAGTCGGTCTCACTACCATCTTGTAATCCTTCTCTTTCCCTTTAATTTTGACCAAAATGAGGTCAAAATTAAAGCAGCTTATTACGAATCCCAAACATAATATTGTGTCTCCTAACTAGACCTTTTGTCAAACTTTAGTGTCACCTCCTGAGCTGCATAAGTCATTATTTTTCAGGTTTCATGATCATTGTGACAAATAAATGAAACTTCCTGTGTGAAACCAATGGTGAATCCCTTAAAGGAAAAACTGAATACAAGTAGAGAAACCTAATTAATGATAATTCTTCCTAATAGGGGACCGGGTGGGCTGGACTGACTTAATGAACACTGGAATAACGTGAAGTGTATTCACATGGTTTTCACAGTAACTGGATTTGAACCCTGTTGAATACTTAAAGTAGATTTTTGGGAGACCTTTTGTTACCTCTCATCGCCATCATGCAAACATCACTTCAACAGAGTTTCACACATTCAGAGTGACGAGCAGCAGCGCTGTTTAACACTGGGACTCGTGGTGGCTCCAGACTTTGCTAAATAAGTTTCATTCCTTCCCTCCATGCTTTTATTTGTTTCCACAGCTTTTCCATAAATGAATAAACTGGCTGTGAAGCCATAAACCACACCTTTAAAAACAGCCCTGACGTGTTTTTTATAAACACAGCAGCCCGCTAAGTGCACGCGTGTGAGCCAGAGTCACTCAGCCAGTTAAATTTTGGCTTCTGTGCCCCGTGCCTCCTGCCCACTGCCCCACTATCTCTTGTAACGGATGTTGTTGCCACTTTGTCCCATAGGGCATGGACTACTAACAGAGTTTTTCCACTGACTGACTCCAATTGTTGGCTGAGTGCCACAGAGGGAGAGCAGGAAAGAAAAGGAAGAAGGAAAGATTGATAGAAAGAAAAGAGCGAGAGAGGAGCATGGCCCCACTCCTGGCACCATGAATAGACATGAGGTAGTTCCAGCATTAACAGTTTCAATGACTCAGTTTAGGACATTATGCTTTTGGGATTTTAAAATGGTTGACTGGCTCTTTTTAAGGCCGGAGATCCTCTGTCACAGTGAACTCTTTACTTATCCTGGGAATTCACTGATAACTATCTTAGAGGTCGCTCATCTTGCTTTCATCCTGCATTAGCACTGCAGTGCTTGCTGCAGCAGTACACTTCTCCAATCAACAGGGACATCCCCCCTTCTCCCCTACAAACCTGTGCTTACCAACCTGCTTTGTTTGGTTGCTTTGCACGACTAAGCCAAACAACATCTCTTTGCAAGCAGCTCCACAGTGAGAGCATTTTGTGCCAAAGCGGCACAAGTGGGAAAAATCTTGCGACCTTAATGGTTACATTTCTAATAAGACAGGTGGCAACACTAAAAATCAGCCATAATGAGAAGTGACAACTTTAGTGGAGAGGAACTGCCAGGATGTCCGCAGGACTAAATGAATGAAAACTGATGGGCGGTGATGTCTGTACTGCTTTCAGTTGGTGCTCTTAACCTTCTCCTGAAGTTGTAAGACGTTTTTTTTCTCTCCATCTCTTGCTGTCTCATTTACTGTAGACCCAAGAGCGAGCTATCCATCCATAGTACAATCCAAGTACCTAGAGGCATGACTGTGGGGCAAGTTCTTCAGGAATAGCGCGGCGATGTAATGGGAGCTCACTCCTTGCTCTCCCATCCACTTATTGCATTTTTTCGCCCCTTTGGCTGTCGCTGCAAGAGAGCAACACAGGGCGTGTATCTGGTGAAATCCCCAGCTTAATTTCAGAATCAACTCTCACCAGTTTTTATTTGTCAAAGCCATCCATATTTCAACAGAAACCAGCTCCCCATATTAAGCATGTTGGTGCAGAGTGCTGGCAGAAGCTCTCGTCATAATGTTGATCTTTGTTGAGAGGGAATACCCCGTCGTGTGGAAGCAATTCCGCTTGCATAGTTAATGTGGCACCTCAGTGCTGACTGGGCCTGAATGTGAATACTTTTTTCCCCTTTACTGCGCTATTACTGCAAAATGTTGTGTTACATTTATTGTTTTTCCTTCTTTTTCTTAATAGAAATACAAGTTGGTTGTACAAAAGTCTTAGATTAGGCTACTTGTGTTGAAAGGGGAAAAACTTAACACCTCCACGCTCATGGAGTCATGCACAACGTGCAGCCACAGCAGCCGTGGCATGCACATGTACTCAGCTGAATGCGAACAATGCATGTGCACAAGAAGGGGAGAGGGACGGGTAGCGCAAATAAACACACGTCTACACACAGAGGTGCACGCGGGCGTGCTACAGACACACACTTCCCAGCAAAGGATGCGCACACTCAGGCGAGCACATGGATTAATAATGTACCATATTCCCTGTAGGAGGCTAGTTAGCATTTCAGGAAGATTGCACAAACACTGGGGAACTGTAATTAGGAAGTTATTGTTACAAGTTGCAACTCTCTGTCTCTCTCCCTTTCTCTCTCTCTTTCACGACACACACACACACACATACACACACACATTGGTAAGCATATAGGCGCATGCATGAATAAAGAATGCAAATGGTGAAGGTTGGGGTAGAGTATTTCTCAGCAAAAATGAGCAGAAACAACACAGAAAGATTAGATACACTATAAAAATGCGAGAATTTTTGCACAGCAATTTGCAGTTTTTGTAAATGCAGCTGAATATCAATGCTGACGCCTCTGAAATACTACCGGCGACCTACTGTGATTATATTCTATGCTGAAATGCACTTTATTTTATTAGAGTTAGTCTGCTGATGTAGATTACAGTAGGAGTACGATGCCAGTAAGTCTACTGAAATTTAACAAGGAATGTTTTTGCAGTTTATGCCACAAGACATGTGCAAAATAAATCAGGGGTGTGACGTTGCCCCAGACAAAACCTGAACAGTGCGTTAAAGCAACACAAAAGTTGTCTAAAAGAAGACTAACGCATTAAAAATACTCCAAAAACCTGCTGCCACAAAAAAGGGGAGCGCACAGTTTCTGTGGTCTGACGCAGCGTGAGTGACTGGAATCCAGCTTGTGGTGCATACAGCATTAAAAAGGTGCGTTTAAAAAAAAATTCAGAGTAACATCTCCTTTCGCAAATAGTCCCGCTGTCAGAGAGCGGTAGCTTCAGAAAAAATTCTTCAGAA